ATGTTTGCAACATATCTGCGCGTATTTTTGTGAGTGTGCATGTTTTATGTAACCTTGACTCATTCTTCTCTATAAGAGTTACCTCCCTGACGTTTTAACACACTGTCAGTGTACTGCTGTAGTCTGACACGTAAGTTGATCAGGCTGTCGAAAAAGTTGTTTTCCTTCAAACACGAAACTGGGTCCACGTTTCCCGCATAGCGATCTGTAAGTAAGGGAAGGCTGCTATGTGTTGTGTGCGGGGAGCCACTGAGAAGTGTCGGTAAGCGTGAAGCAAGTGTAATCGCGAGATTTTGGTTACATAGACTCGCGCTAGTCCCCGTCACCAGATTCCAAGGCTGTGGTCAGAGTTAACGCAACCCGCCCTTATCTCACTAGGTGTGATGCCCACTTCTTGGAAGAATTAAACCAAATTTGAAAAGTTTTTCAACGATTAATATCATGAAAAAAAATCTAGACTTTGTCAGATGTGTTAGCTGTACCCAATTGTCAAGTAATGATATCTATACAAAGTCTAGCCTATGGCTTGTGTACGAAGATGAACCTCTATTGCCAGTGTCGTAACTTTAAGTATAATTCTAATTAATCAAACTGCACAGTTTCAGTGAGTGAGTGAGTGAGTTGGGTTAAACGCCGCTTTTAACAGTATTCCAGTTATATCACGGCGTGTCAGCTTAATGTGGGAGGAAAGCCCGAAATGATGCAGGTCTCAGCCATTTACCACTTCGGTAAAACCCACGATGAAGGGTATGGTGCTGACAAACCTAGAAACATAATTGGGGCGAACCGGGATTCGAACCCACAATCACAGGTTTCTGGCGTGTCCAAGGGACGCAACTCTGCACAGCGAATCGCGGCGCCTTAGACGACTGCTGCACTATTAATGTGTTTGAACTTTGCAAGTTCTACCCTGTACGATATGCTAATTGCATATGCTACTTTCAGAATCAGGAAAGGAGAACATGACATGAGTTTAGATATTAGGGTAATAGAAAAATAGAAAACAAACATGAATTGAATCAAAGCTAGTAATATGCCTTCACAGCAATGACTTCCTGAAACATTTGTTATTGTTTTCAAGGAACAAGAGGTATTAGGTGGACACAATCATAGTGGTATACGTGGTTCATGTTAAAGTGCTTTCAGAATGGAATGGCATAAAACCTGTTGTGTTGTGAGGTGATGAGCAACACGTTCAAGCAGTGCAGCACCGTGGCAGCCTGGGCTGTAAATAGAAACACTGATTTCGTATTCCAATGGATGACATGACCAGTGTTGACACAAAAGTTCATAAGAACTAACCATCAAAGCATGAAACAAATAATTCACTGAGGAAACAAGAGGTCGTGTATGAATTTATGTGAAACACGTTAATCTAAACCATGGTAGTATTAAACCTATATCAGAATTGACAGTCAATAGTATGCCCACTTACGTCTGGTGACCTCACCAGCGTGGAGTCCAGAGAGCTGCTCCTCCATTGTTCAGTGTATATGACGACAGCTACTCCAATTATTTGCAATTGTTCTGTGCATATATGACGATAGCTACTCCAGTGTTTTGTTATGTTCTGTGTATATGACGACAGCTACTCCAATGATTTGCCAATGTTCTGTGTATATGACGACAGCTACTCCAATGATTTGCCATTGTTCAGTGTATATGACGACAGCTACTCCAATGATTTGCAATTGTTCTGTGCATATGACGACAGCTACTCCAGTGTTTTGCAATTGTTCTGTGCATATGACGACAGCTACTCCAGTGTTTTGTCATTGTTCTGTGTATACGACGACAATTACTCCAATGTCTTGTTTTGATCTCGCTCTCGTTTTCTTTGACATTGGAGGAGCACAATATCCCCATCACTAGTTTTTTCCTGTGCTAATGTATCATACTACAGAAGTCATCGGCTTCACCAGTAATGACGTCAAAGGGCTTTTGAAAGGAATATTGCTGTTGTTGCTGATTAACTCATGTGTCTCAAACAACAGTAGTTGGAGTGAGTGAGTGTTGTTTTGCTATCCTTTAGCAGTATTCCAGCAATATCACGGCAGGAGACACCAGTACTGGGCTTCACACATTGTACCCATGTTGGCCCCGGGTCTTCGGTGTGACGAGCTAACATGTTAACCACTAGGCTACCTGACCGCCCCTAGTTGGAGGTCTAATCAGGAATGTGTGAGTGTTGTTGTTGTTGATGTCATATGTGTTTTATACAAGAGCAGTTAGGGGTTTAGCCAGGAGTGAGTGAGTGTTGTTGTTGATGTCATATGTGTCTCATACTAGATTAGTTAGGGGTGTAGCCAGGAGTAAGTGAGTGAGTGTTGTTGTTGATGTCATATGTGTCTCGAACTGCAGTAGTTAGGGGTTTAGCCAGGAGTAAGTGAGTGTTGTTGTTGATGTCAAATGTGTCTCGAACTGCAGTAGTTAGGGGTTTAGCCAGGAGTAAGTGAGTGAGTGTTGTTGTTGATGTCAAATGTGTCTCGAACTACAGTAGTTGGGGGTTTAGCCAGGAATAAGTGAGTGAGTGTTGTTGTTGATGTCAAATGTGTCTCGAACTACAGTAGTTGGGGGTTTAGCCAGGAGTAAGTGAGTTAGTGTTGTAGTTGATGTCATATGTGTCTCATACTAGATTAGTTAGGGGTGTAGCCAGGAGTAAGTGTGTTTGAGTTGTTGTTGATGTCAAATGTGTCTCGAACTGCAGTAGGTGGGGGTTGAGCCAGGAGTTAGTGAGTGAGTGTTGTTGTTGATGTCATATGTGTCTCGAACTGCAGTAATTAGGGGTTTAGCCAGGAGAAAGCGAGTTGTTGTTGATGTGAAATGTGTCTCGAACTGCAGTAATTAGGGGTTTAGCCAGGAGAAAGTGAGTGTTGTTGTTGATGTGAAATGTGTCTCGAACTGCAGTAGATGGGGGTTGAGCCAGAAGTAAGTGAGTGAGTGTTGTTGTTGATGTCATATGTGTCTCGAACTGCAGTAGTTAGGGGTTTAGCCAGGAGTAAGTGAGTTTGAGTTGTTGTTGATGTCAAATGTGTCTCGAACTGCAGTAGTTAGGGGTTTAGCTAGGAGTAAGTGAGTTTGAGTTGTTGATGATGTCAAATGTGTCTCGAACTGCAGTAGTTGGGGGTTTAGCCAGGAGTAAGTGAGTTTGTGTTGTTGTTGGTGTGCAGTTATGGGGGTTTAGCCAGGAGTAAGTGAGTGTGTTGTTCTTAATGTCAAATGTGTCTCGAACTGCAGTAGTTAGGGGTAGAGCCAGGAGTAAGTGAGTGTTGTTGTTGATGTGAAATGTGTCTCGAACTGCAGTAGATGGGGTTTAGCCAGGAGTAAGTGAGTGAGTGTTGTTGTTGATGTCAAATGTGTCTCGAACTGCAGTATTTAGGGGTTGAGCCAGGAGTAAGTGAGTGAGTTTTGTTGTTGTTGATGTCAAATGTGTCTCGAACTGCAGTAGTTAGGGGTTTAGCAAGGAGTAAGTGAGTGAGTTTTGTTGTTGTTGATGTCAAATGTGTCTCGAACTACAGTAGTTAGGGGTTGCGCAAGTCAAATGAAAATTGCCAACATCCTCTACCGAGTTTCGTACAGGTCACTCTGACATTGGCTAAATTTAATGTGAAGTCATTTGGCCGAAATCCATACTTTCCTGAAACCTCTGATGCCCATTAATGTTTCCACAAATAACTAATATGCAATTACCTAAATCTTAGTGTCCCAAAGTTCAAGCGGGTCAAGCTGACATGCAGATTACTGACGTCGATTATGCATGTATGTCTCGTCTAACAGATGTGTTAGTGTGGCGCTACAATGCCATGCTCCTTACAGCACAGATATAGTTTCTTATTCTCTATACCTCCAACATGGGGCGACTAAATGTGACAGCAGCAGAGTATTGATGAGTAGAGTAAGAGATTACCTTTTTATTACAGCATTCTGTATATAGAGGATTAAAAACACAACCAGAATCCACATACAGGCTTTGTCTCAGAGAAGCTCTAAAGGCTCAAAGGCAAAACCTCAGTCTCTGATGATGAATAGAATCTAGTTTTTTTAAACTCACTCATTTGCTGGTTCGATATGAATTGTCTCAGTATCAGCCTGAAAGGGAGAATATGTCGATTCGGATTGATTGTCAGCGTGACAGACGAAGCTACGACAGGTTGATCATGTCAACTCAGTCCGACACAGAACAGATAAAGAGGTTGTGGCAGATTTGCCTACAGCAGCAGAAGAATGTACAGTAAAAGTAAGCTGCCTGGCGACGACAAAGCTGATGTTTCGTTCTTGTTTAGTTTAAGAATTTTGATTTCTGTTTGATAAACAGGGCAGAACTTGGAAGTGGTCATGTGTTGCCTATCACAGTTTGAACATTTCAAATCTTGAGGACAATCTGCACTTTTATTGTTGTCACCATAACGATGACAAACCAGGGGATGTGTGCAGGTTTTCGAACCATGTCCACGTTTTTTTACATTTAAATCATCGGAGTGTATTGGGGACATACATCTTCACTCCGATATTGACATAACCAGCTTTAATTGAATTGGGAACAGGTCAACGGGCAAGTGAATAAATATGTGTTCGTTTGAACAGTAGTTGATTTATTATCCTTTCTGGTAAAACGTTTGACAGACTAAACTTGATTTTTGTCTCTTCACATTTCACCTGAAGAGCTCCACTGCGCAAACGTGTCACATTTTAACCTCCCCACAATGGCCATGAACAGATCTGGATATACCAATTTGATTGGTTCATGATCTGTAACTTCGATCACAAGGAATCAACATATGTATTAGCCTTATCAAACGAACTTGTATCCAAATGTCTTCGTTTAGAAACAGAATGATTGTTAGCCATGGTGAAAGAGGGAGGGGGATTTTGGGGGGTGGGGGATTGGAGGAGTAAGGTATATGTGAGACTGCATGTGGCATAGAGACCCGGGTGTCTGCTACGGGTGGATCAAAGGTATATGTTGTACATTGGACATACAGACCGTGGTGTCGGGGATGGGTAATAAGTAAGTTCCGCGACGTGAGACAAAGAGAAGTAATTTACGCACATTATTAATGTTAAGGGGTTGGATCGAGATTAGTTAAAGTAAACAAGAAATCTAATATTTTTCAAGTTACTTCAATGGTAATAATACTCTCAACACGAGGCTATTGTGGCAACATACTTGGTATGCAACACAATACCCTGATGAAGTTCCCTGCCTTATTTGTGTCTGTGGTGCCACATGTACGCACAAGAATTTTCTGTCAGAGCATTCCTGAGTTGGCTTTTTGTCAAACACTTCGGACTAAGCTCCATGTTGATCCAGCACTAAGTCAGTCTTCTCGTAACTGCGACGAACTGCACATATCTCTGCATGATGGAACAAACAAGCGTTGTATTCATCATTCTTGTGTTCTTATGTGGTGTCAGAGACGCACTTGCTGATACCAATTTGACCGACTTGACTGGACAAGTGAGAGTCCCGACCGCAACTATCCAAGCATGGAAAGGAAGAGTTGTTAATATTAAGACTGATATGAAACAGCACTTTAAGAGGTGGGAGTCATCACTGAAAAATCAACTGACTGACACGTTCATTCCTGCCCTGATAAAGCCTCTAGTGGAGCAAGCGATTACTGGCATCCTGAAAGAGTATAACATTAGGAATATTATGAGTGGACGTGTTCATGATTTAGTTAACAGACTGAAAGTCAGTGTTCATTACACAAAGACACAACTTCGGGCAGTAACACAACAGCTCAGACGTGTAGAAAGGGAAAGAGACAGTTACAAAGAAAGTATTTTTAAGCTTCGTAGCGAGGTGAACACAGACATCCACAGTTTACAGCTGCAGCTGAATGAGACGAAAGCTGGTCTTCGCGATGCAAAGATTGTGAACACCGTTCTTAAGGAAGATTTAATTACACTAAATACAAGCTGTGTGAAGAGAGAAGAGATAGAAGCGCGCTCCAATGATGAACAGTCATACAGGGCGGGCTTGCAGGAAATGCAGCAAAAGTTAAAAACTGACATTCAGAGTTTAAACATTCAACTAAATCAGACCATTGATGACCTACATGATTCAAATCAAGTAATCACTGGTCTTACAGAGGACATGGTGACACTGAATACAAGCTGTGTGGTGAGAGAAGATATTAAAGAGGTCAATGTTACTGACAGGTCGCTGACTACATCGTCGTTGTCGCAGGTGTCATTCACAGCATCGCCCCCTTCGTTTCCGGGTGCTGCAGGAGGTGAGACTTTTAGCAGAGATTTCTCTCTAAATATTCCACGCGAAAGATGCATGAAATATATTATTTCCTTTGAAAAAAGCATTAGTGTATGTCTTGAATTTCAAACAATATATATATATATATATATATATATATGTGTGTATGTATGTATGTGTGTATATATATATATATATACATACATACATACATACATACATACATACATACATACATACATACATACATACATACATACATACATACATACATACAAAGGATATGCCTTCTTCTGCCTTTAACTTGTGTCTAAACATTCTGTGTTATAAATGTGTAATACAATAAAATACACTGACACATAACAGTGTTATCCTACATAAAACTGTCTCAGAAAATTGAGATCTGAATAAAGTCCAATATTCATATTCACCCTGTAGCAGAACGAACAACAAATAAGTAAAACATACATGGAGTTCTAAACACTGCACGTATCACACAATACTAGGCATAATCTACTGTAACTGCTTGTCACTGCAGATCCTGCTGTAAGTGATCAAATACACGTCACTTACATAGTTTAGTATACATATCATACAATTATATACACAGTAATACTGCCATATCATTTCATTCTAAACATAATCTCAAATGGAATGGCATAGATAAACCTACATAAATATGTCCTTATCTGAGCCATACATGTACTAGCATTACCTGTGTTGTGATATACTTTTAATTACAAACAACACACATGAAAATGAATGATATTGATTAATTTCTCATGGCACAAACATAACATGTACCATGGTATTGAAAATTAAACATGGCCAACAAAATGGCGGACAAGATTGGGACACAAATCCTTATATATGTCGCCTTTATCATAAAAGTATTATAGCATTTTCACATCAAATCAGAAAACATGAATGATGTTCTTATAATCATTACTGTATTTATACCAATGACTTTAACTACATTCATACACTCAAATCACACAATTATAACCTACACTGAACTAATGTTTACACTATACATGCTGTACTAAAAAAATATTATATCCTACATATTGTTTATAACTTCGTATTAAAACTAGAGAGACATGCTGCTGTGAAAAGTCGTGTCTGTCACAGTGTCTGTCTCATGCAGTGACTGCATGGTGCAGCTACACATGGTGGACTGATTTACAAAGTCCTTTTGTTAGCATAGAAGATAAAACTGACCAAGCGGACAGCAAGAATAGCTTGACCTCTAAAGGCAAGACAAAAGATTACCCCGGACCCTCACCATAACACAATAGAACTGGCCAGAACAAGGGCAGCTTGGGCCAATCAGGCTGGGAATTGGTACCGTACATAATCAAATAAAACACTACAACAACACTTTCTAAAACCAATGCGATATATATACAATAATACTAAGAAAGAAATACACTGACACACACACACACGCACACACGCGCGCGCCTACACACACACACACAGACACACACGCGCGCGCGTACACACACATATATTTTGTCATACTGTTTCATGCGAAAGAAAGTCATGATTCATTCGTTGGAAAGATGTCATCGCGTCAATGTTGCAAACAAAGGTAGCACGTTCAGATAGCATCATCTTCCCGAGGCATGATCGTCCACAAGTCAATTTTTTAAAGTCTAGTTTCCAGCCCGATGAACTTTTGATCTTGACCTAGGGCGACCTGTGCGGGGTCGATCCTTAACTTTTCTGCAGAACATATCGAACATATCGTCTATCCACCACTGACTTCCGCCAGTTTCCGGAATGACAATAACTCTTAGGCGTTCATTACATTGTAGACCGCCTCCGTGGTCTAGTGGTAGACGTCCGCCCGGAGAGCGGAAGGTCCGGGGCTCGATCCCCGGCCGTGTCATACTAAAAGACGTTAAAAGATGGTACTTGTTGTTTCCCTGTCTGGTGCTCGGCATTAAGGGGTTAAAACAAGGACTGGTCAGTATACTGTGTCTGAGTAGGGTGTTCATGTTAAACTGCGGCATGGTATCTCAGTGGGCCAGCACTATAAATCGACATCAGTCCGGTCTAGTACAAGCAGCCACACACACACACACACACACACACACACACACACACACACACACACGCGCGCGCGCGCATGCACGTCGCTATGTAAGTGCAATAATCTTGGACGCGGCGTTAAACCCAATTTCACCTCACCTCATAACATTGTAGACGACGCATTCCTACTCTGATCATAAATATTGCAGTGCAGCAAGCGTAGAGAGTTTAGCAGCTCACGTGCACGGAGGAATATTTGTGTGCAAGGTTTCGTGTGTGTTGTGGCGTTAGGGTTTGGTTCCGAAACCGTTTAGCGTCTGTCTCTGGCAGTCTTTTTTTCAAAGCTGATCGTCCTTCTGATCATAATATCAAAAGACGGGACACCCAATACCCAGGTACATAGGTCAACGTCGGTATGAATACTCCCAGCAATATTCATTACAATATAGAAAAGAGCGCATGACTCAGATAAAAACTAGAAAAGGTGCTCGTCTCTTAAATAAGTTAGTAAGTTTTAGTAACACGACATTTATACGGGGTGAAAATATACAGGAGCGTTCTAATCCTGCTTCATTTATACGCAACCTCTATACTAGGCTAACTATACTACTCAAAAGCAGTTAGGGAACACAGATATGTTTGCACTTAAAATAAAAAAAGAACAGAAGATGAAGACATGTATAGTAAATTCAATAATGACCGAGTATACAGTAAGAAAGAATCATGAACAATCCACTACATTTCATAACGTGAGTGTAAGTGAGTTTGATTGAACGCCGCTTTTAACAGTATTCCAGTTACATCACGGCGTGTCAGCTTCATGTGGGAGGAAAGCCCGAAGTGATGCAGGTCTCAGACGTTTACCACTTTGGTGAAACCCACGTATGGTGCTGACAAACCTAGAAACTTAATCGGGGCGAACCGGGATTCGAACCCACAATCATAGGTTTCTGGCGTGGCCAAGGGACGCAACTTTGCACAGCGAATCGCGACGCCTTAGACGACTGGGCCACCCGTGCCCTGAAAGAATCATGAAATAACCCACTACATTTCATTACGTGGAAATCCAGGCCATGAGAGAAAAGTCAGTAACGAGTGTGTCCGCCCCTAGCAGCCACACATGCAACACAACGACGCCTCATGGATGTCACTAATGTCTGTAGTGTGTTCTGTGGGATAGGTTGCCACTCCAAACTCAGCCATTGAGCAAGCTGGCGCAGATCTTGAGGTGGAGGGTGGCTCTCTCTAACACGTCTCGTTAACAGATCCCATACGTGCTCAATGGGTGCCATATCAGGATAATATGCTGGCCATTCCATGCGAGTAACATTGTTTTGTCCCAGAAAGTCAGTGACTATGCGTGCACGATGAGGTCTAGCATTGTCATCCTGGAAAACCGCCTGTTGGCCTATTCGGTGAAGACAAAAATTCATCATTGGTCTCAGAATCTCACCCCTGTAGCGAACAGCATTCAAATTCCCGTTGATGACGTACAGATTGGTTCTGTGATGAAATGAGAAGGCGGCCCACAACATGACACTACCACCACCAAAACGATTGTGTTCACGGACGTTGACGTCAGCAAAACGTTTCCCACGCCGTCTGTAGACAAGAACATGACCGTCATTATGCTGCAGTGAGAACCGAGATTTTTTCAGAAAAAAGAACTGCTGACCACTGGTGTCTTGTCCACTGTCGGTGTTGCCGTGCTCTGGCTGCTCCGTGACGCGGAAGAAGAAGTGGTCTAACGGCTTGACGTCGGGGCCTGATGTGTCTTTCCCTCATACGGTTTCTTGTGGTTTGGTCACTGACATTTGTTCCTGGAGCAGCCCTCAGTTGCCTTCGAAGATGGTTTGCTGTGACTGCTCTCCTCCTCAATGTTTCAACAACGACGTAACGTTCTTCTCTTCCTGTTGTCACACGAGGGCGTCCTGACCTTGATCTGTCACGCACTGTCTGTGTTTGTTGGAATCGCTGACGTAATCTGCAAATGACGGATGGACTAACATTTAACCTTCGAGAAATATTTTCATTTAGCCACCCAATAGCTCTAGCTCGTTCTTCAATCGTGAGGTGTCGACGTTGTGGCATGTTGAACACAGTGTGGCTCGAGCTTCATGAGGATAAGTGAGCAAATGCACGATCTCCATTCTTACGGCAGCTGTGAGGAGGAGATTACAACAAAAATGTCCATGAAAATGAGTGCTGGTGAAAATTAACGTTGTCCAGTATGATTAAAATTCTTTGTTCTGGCCATGAAGTCACTTGAGTAAGGGTAGTCTTCAATATCAGTATGCTAGCCGCCGATCAGGAGGCCGTTTACCAAATTTAAAAGGAATCGAATGAACAGTGCTACAAAATATCAGCGTTCCCTAAATTGTTTTGACGAGCATACTTCATAATCAAACACAAAAGCAATTATAAATAATTTACACTCAATTAAAACTTGTTCTAACACTGCATTGAAGACACAATACACCAGCTTAGTGTTTCTAGTGGTGTCAGGAAGCGTCATTAACACTTCTAACACTGTAGAGTAGACATGAAACACCAGCCCTGTGTTTCTAGTGGTGTCAGGAAGCGTCATTAACACTCACAACACTGTACAGTAGACATGATACACCAGCCCTGTGTTTCTAGTAGCGACGGGAAGAGACATTAACACTTTTAACACTGTACAGTAGACATGATACACCGGCCCTGTGTTTCTAGTGCAGTCAGGAAGCGTCATTAACACTTCCAACACTGGACAGTAGACATAATACACCAGCCCTGTGTTTCTAGTGGTGTCAGGAAGCGTCATTAACACTTCCAACACTGTACAGTAAAGGATACACCAGCCCTGTGTTTCTAGTGCAGTCAGGAAGCGTCATTAACACTTCTAACACTGTACAGTAGACATGATACACCGGCCCTGTGTTTTTGGTGCAGTCAGGAAGCGTCATTCACACTCCCAACACAGTACAGTAGTCATGATACACCAGCCCT